GTCCGCAGGCAGAGGCCCCTCTGTCCCCTCGGCTGGAATCAGCACCCGGCCGGTGCTGCGGGCAGGCCCCGGGAGGGGAGGACAGAGTCCGAATCTGAGCAACAAGATCCCAGGCGGACGCTGGCAGGGGGAGTGCACAGCCCGGGCCAGGCCCGGGTGGAGCCCACAGGCTCACAGTCAAAGCCTGGTGCTTGGCACTTCGGCCCGGAGGCTGTGCTGGGGCCTGGCTGGCCGACCTGGTGGCTCTCATCACCCCAGACTTCCCACCCCCCGTCCCGGCAGAGCAGAGCAGAGCAGAGCAGTGGGCCTGCAGGTGCCACAGCCGGGGCCTCAGACTGTCCACCTCCCTTCGGGACCGAACATCAGACCCCGTGTCACTGTGGCCCGGGTAGGGCTCCCAGGGCGGCCTTGGACCCAGGGCCCCCGAGGCCCGAGGCGTTCAGACCACAGCCAGCATGTGGGGCCACAGGTGGGCGGGCAGTGCACCCCAAATCTGTATACTTTTGTTAACCAGTGTCACCCTAATATAATCAATAAAAAGGAAAAAAAAAATTTAAAAAAAAAAAAAAGGATAAACATCTTATCTCCAATCCGACAGGTGAGGTTACCTTGTGCGCAGAAGCCGGCAGAGGCGTCCGGGTCCCGGGAGCTGGTCTGGGCCCCCTGCTGGTCTGTGCTCGGGACCTACAGCCAGAAACAGGCAGCGAGGGGCCGGTCAGGAGGGCGACTCAGAACCCACCGTCTCGTAGGAAATGCTGGGAGACGGGCACTAACGTTCCCCCCGAAAGTCCGGGGGCGTGAGGTGGAGGACGCCCCGGCCAAACTCAAGGCCGTTTCTCTGTGACTTTTGATGTTTCTGTCTCTTTCTCCTTCTCCCTTCCTCTCTGAGATCAATACAAAAATATTCTTAAAAATACATAAAGGCGCCCTGGCCAGTGCAGCTCAGTGGATAGAGCATCAGCCTGTGGACTGAAGGGTCCAGGGTTCTATTCCCATCAGGGCACACGCCCGGGTTGCGGACTCAATCCCCAGTGTGGAGTGTGCAGAAGGCAGCCGATCAATGCTTCTCTCTCATCATTGATGTTTCCATCTCCCTCTCCCTCTCCCTTCCTCTCTCTGAAATATATACACACACACACACACACACACACACACAGGCCGTGGAAGTGGGGGAGAAAAATGTATTTGTTAGGCTCAGACACACCTGAGGGGCCGGGGGAAGAGGCACAAATACTGGGTGGGTCCCAGGTTCTGCCCTCTGGCCTGCTGCCTGCTCCCCACCACGGCTGGTGACACCCGCATCCCACCGGCTCGTGAAAGGCTCAGACAGAGACCCGTGTGGGCAGCAGACCCGCGTGCAGGGAGCCGTTTCCCGGGCCGGTCTCACCTGGCTGGGCGGGGCCGGGCCCACCACGGCCTCGTAGGGCGGGGGCAGCTCCGTGGGGTAGAGCAGGCCGGGGCTGTTGATGGCCGCGTCGTACAAGGTGCCGAATGGAGCGGGAGCCAAGTCCAGGCGGAGGCCCCTGAGGAGGCAAACATCGCCTGTCACCCCCGGGGAGGAGCCCCAAAGGCTGACATAGCGCTTGTCAGCTCCCCTGGTCGGATACTCATCGTGTTTGTGAAGTAAAAGCCTAATTCGCTCCGCAGTTTTAGCTTTTGTTTTCTGGAAAGATAACACCATTTTCAATAAAGTCAATGGCTCTGTCCATTAAAATTAAAATTAAAGCCGGGCCAGCGTGGCTCAGTGGTTGAGCGTTGACCTATGAACCAGGAGGTCACGGTTCAGATTCCCCGTCAGGGCACGTGTCTGGGTTGCAGGCTCGATCCCCAGTAGGGGGCGTGCGGGAGGCAGCCGATCCATGATTCTCTACATCATTGATGTTCCTATCTCTCCCTCTCTTTTCCTCTCTCTCTGAAAAAGTATTTTAAAAATTAAAATGAAAATGCTCCCCAGCTGACTCCATCTTTAATCTCTTTAATCAGCAATCACATGTTCTATCAAGGGCTCCCATCGGCAGCGGCTCTGGGTTTCCTGGGTTTGGTTCTGTGTCCTGGAGAGACACCCAGAGAAACTTCTCGCTCTGAGTCACTTCCCTCCGCTGCTCACGCTCTGTTCTCTGACCAACCGGCTCTCGTGGCCTGCGCTCCCCCCGCCTCCTCCACAGCTTCTCTATTGAAGATGGCACGGCCTCTGCCACGTGCATCTGCCCGATCCTTCCCCATCTCCCCTGGCGTCAACCCGTCCCCGAGGCACCGCGGACACACGCACCTGTGGGCCTCGGCGGGGGGCGTGCAGCTGTACTCGGGAGGGTAGTAGGGGGGCGGCGGCAGAGGGGGGACGAACTCCTCGAAGTCCAGCGTCTGGTGGAGGACGGTGCCGTGCGGGGTCAGGCAGGCGGGGCTGGCGGAATGCGCCCTGTGTGGAAGGAACTGGAAGCAGAGGTGCACCGTGACTGGGACGCCTCGTGTGGCCCGTGTCCAGCCGACCTAACTGCACATGAGCTTCAGTTTGGGACTTAGGTCATTTCAACTGTTGGGCCTTGCCGGCTAAACACACATTCGACTATATTTATTTTTAGATTTTAAAATTGATTTTTAGAGCGAGGAAGGGAGGGAGAAGGCGAGCCACATCTATTGGTTGCCTCCCACACACCCACCACCCTCTGGTGTGTGGCCGATGCTCTGACCACTGGACCACACCAGCAGGACTGTAACCAGCTTTTCACTCATCAGATGCCCACCAGTCCTGGTCTGTCTGATAGAGACGCAGCGCCTGCCACCCAGACGCACTTCTGTTGACCCCAGGCCTCATGAAGGTCCCTGTGGGTCCCAGGAGAGCTGGGCACAGTGGCGCTGGGCCAGGCCTGGTGACCTGGGCGGTGAAGATGCTGGTGACCCTGCTGGTGCTGGTGCCAGGAGTGGCGTGTGTCTCCCCCTGACCCCTCACTAGCACGGAGACCAGGCCACGGGCCCTGGTTACACAGCCCTTCCTGAAGGGCCCTGCTTTACAAAGCATCTGGCCAGAGCCCGGCCGGCGTGGCCCAGTGGCTGAGCATCCACCTCGGAACCAGGAGAATGTCCACTCTCCCAGTCCGTCGGTCCCCACCGGCCGGAGGAGGGGCTGGGGCCACTCACCAGGTGCAGGATGTCGGTGGAGACCATCTGCATGCAGCACATGGCGGTGGCCAGGGCGCACACGATGGTAGAGAGCACGTTGAGGGCGCACACGCTGAAGAGCAGGTCCTGCGAGGAGAGACGTGGAGAAGGTCAGCTCCCCGGGCAGGCCCTGCGCACGCCTTCAACCCCAGGACCAGCCTGCCAACCGCCTCCACCTCACGGACGCTTTCTCCTGTGATGTTTTATTTTCATAATCAACACTGGCCTTGCCCGGCTGGTGTGGCTCAGTGCTGAGCGTCAATCTATGAACCAAGAAGTTGCTGGTTCGATTCCCAGTCAGGGCACAGGCCCGGGTTAGGGGCTGGATCCCCAGTGTGGGGCGTGCAGGAGGCAGCCGATCCATGGTTCTCTCTCATCATTGATGTTTCTCTCTCTCCCTCTCCCTTCTTCTCTGAAATCAATAAAAATATATTTATTTTTTTAAAAAGGGAAAGTCAGCAGCCACCTGTTCCCTGACGGCGGGCAGCAAACACATTAGGAAGCAGGAGTCCGAAATTCGTCAAGACTTTCCCTCCACTCCCACCCTTCACATCCGCCCGAGGCAGGAAAGGGAAAGGGACAAAGGGGCCCGAGAAGAAGGTGGCACCTTCCAGTGGAATCTGTGACCCTTGGAAATAAGTCCCGAGAGAGTCCCTCTTGCAGCTCCCTGACCTCGGGGCGACGCGCACGGAGAGGCACGCACGGAGGGAACTGCCCGAACCCCATGTGCACGGACGGGACGCAGGGCAGGCTCCCTGGGGCGTCACCTTGAGGGTCAGCCGCACGGCGTTGCAGTCCTCGCGCAGCGGGTTCAGCTTCAGCGTCTCCCCGAGGTTGCTGCAGCCGGCCGCCCGGTGCTGCGTCTCACAGCAGATGCACACCTCCACGCTGTCAAACTTAATCTAGAGGGACAGGCACAGCCGCCATGAGCACCGGCCGGCCTGGCGGGCGCACAGCACACGCACACGCATACACACGCACACACACGTGTCAACGCCTCGGTTCAAAGCATCCCGGTTTAGTCTCAGTCATGAAGCCCAAAACGATTATTTTGTTTTGTTGGCAAAAGCCATGGAGAACCCCAGGAGGAGTTGCTTCAAATGGATGTTTTTCTCTCTTCCGCTCCCTTTCTCTCTGAAATCACAAATACTTATTTTAAAGTGGCCTGCACCCACGCAAAGACGTTTTAACAACCGGGAAGGAATGCTTGCACGTGGTCCTGCCTGGGCCTGGGGAGAACTGGTCAATGTCACGGCAGCACAGCCCCCTCGGGGAGGAGGGAGGGAGCCTGGGCTTGGCTGCGAGGCAGTTTGTCTCGTCAATAACCCTCCAGTGACCCTGGGACAGACACGGACTTACGTGCATCCTCAGCGTTTCCCTGAATGGGTGACTGGTTCTAAGAGTCCCCAGAGGCTCCTGGTGAGCTCTCAGTCCCCGACATCCTGCCTGCGGGCTGACGGGCTTACTGCCGAGTGGCCCTGGGGGTCGGGTCGCCGGAGGCAGCAGAGCTCTGCAGATGGGGTCGCTGTGATGTCTCCGGACTGTGGAGCACTGAGCGGCTGGTCTGCCCCTCAGGTACAGCCTGTCCGTGTCCAGGAGTGGGGAGGCTGATACCACAGAAAGAGGGGGTGCCCCTGCGGGCCGCCTGCGAACCTCAGGGGCAATGAACCGGCCGAGACACATAGAAACCAAAGCATGAGGGACAGAATCGGACCCACTCACTTACGGGGCGACCATCGCTCACGGGGTGACCTGGGACAAGCCACAGAACCGCCCTGAGCTGCGGGGTCCTGGGGTCGGGGTGCACAGATGAGGTTAAGGGGGTCAACATTCAAAGTGCAAATGTGGTTAGTTGTTGGTGTTATTTTTTTAAATATTTTCATTGATTTTTAGAGAGAGAGGAAGGGAGACAGAGAAACATCAATGTGAGAGACTCGAACATGAATTGGCTGCCCCCTGTGCAGCCAAATGACGGCAGCCACTCTGACAGGGGATCCAACCTGCAACCCGGGCATGTGCCCTGGCCAGGAACCAAACCAGCAGCCTTCTGGTGCCTGAGATAAAGCCCAGCACACGAAGCCACACCAGCCAGGGCGGGGTTTTTTGTTTTTTTAATATATATCTTTTTCTTGATCTCAGAGAGGAAGGGAGAGGGAGAGACAGAAACATCAATGATGAGAGGGAATCACTGATCGGCTGCCCCCACCACACACACACTGAGGATCGAGCTTGCTACCCGGGCACATGCCCCCACCAGGAATCAAACCATGACCTCCAGGTTCATAGGTCAACGCTCAACCACTGAGCCATGTGGCCAGGCCAAAAACATATATTTTTTTAAAAGCTACACCTTTTGGCAATCACGGGAGCTGGGAAGGAGACAAGACAATGACAGACGCGCCCCAAGGGGGCTGCGGACTTTCAGCCACGTTTTTCTGCATCTGTCAAGCCCGACTTTTCCGAACCTGCAGCCTTAGGCGCGTCCTCTCGTAATTTCTGACTCATCAGGACGAAGCTCAATCAGGGTTGCCCTGGCTACTGTGGGCTCTTCTGAGCGCCATGGCTACATAATTGGCGTTGGCTTGGTTACCGGACGCGTTCATTTTGAGAATGGAGCGCTGGCACTGCATGCAGCACAGCCTCAGGGAAACCCCACAGCCCTCGGAAAGGAGGAGGCCCCCTCCACACCGCCTTCCTCGTGAAAACCAACAACTGCGTGAGCCCAGGTGGCCTCCGCAGGGAGACAGCACACAACTGTCCTGGACACCGACCGTGGGACACCACCCACCGTGGACAGGGACAGGCTGGTGGACACAACTCGGATGAAGCTCCATGGATTACACTGAAGGAACAAAGCCGATTCCAAAGGGTTACGTACTGTGTGATCTTCCATTTACAGAATACTTTGGACATGACAACATTTAAAATACATTTTAAAATACAGCATTGTATTTCCACATAAGGATACATACAGTAGATGAAAATAACCTCAAGATCATGAAAATAGGAAATTCTTTCTTTTAAAAATGAAAAGGGATCCCACTGTATGGGAGAACAAATTTGCCAATGATAAGAGGTTAATTTCCAGAATATATAAAGGACTCATACAACTTAACAAGAGGAAGACAAACAATCCAATTTAAAAAATGGGCAAAGCCCTAACTAGACACTTCTCCAAAGCAAACACGCAGACGGCCAAGAGACACACGAAAAAATGCTTGAAGTCGCTGATCATCAGAGAGATGCAAACTGAAACGACAAGGAGGGATCGCCTCACACCTGTCAGGGTGGCTGCCGTCAACAAATCAACACACGGCAAGTGCTGGCGAGGACGTGGAGGAAAGGGAGCCCTCGCACTGCTGGTGGGAACGCAGCCTGGGGCAGCCGCTGTGGAAAACAGTGGTGTGCAGTTTCAAAAAGTTAAATATGGAACTGCCATTTGACCCAGTGACCCCACTTCTAGGAATATATCCTAAAAAATCAGAAACACTAACATGAGAGAATATATGCACCATATGTTCATAGCAGCGCAGTTACAATGACCAAAATCTGGAAAGAGCCTGGTGCCCTCAGTAGACACGTGGATACAAACGCTGTGGACGCCCTGGCCGGTATTGCTCAGTGGGTAGAGCGTCAGCCTGCAGGCTCGATCCCCAGTGGAGAGCGTGCAGGAGGCAGCCAATCAATGATTCTCTCTCATCAGTGATATATATCTCTCTCCCCCTCTCCCTCTCCCTCTCCCTTCCTCTCTGACATAAATAAAAATGTATTTAAAAAAGAAACCAATGCGAATGCACCCATACCCAGCCGCCAAGGTTATATCAGAAGTTCAACCACACACTTACTCAGTGTGACTGGACATACTTCCATTTCTGCCCCAGCCACATGCATGGATCACTGTCCCTGGAACTAAACCACGATATGGAGTCATCACTCTATGCAACCAACAACTTACTGATCCCTCCCACGTGCGTAGCACACGGCCTACCATTTCCTAAATCTAAAAGCTAATTCTCTTTTTTAATTGAAAAATGGGAACAAAGTGGTTTTGATGCACTCACCATATGGGTATATATATATAGTCACTTAAAATCGATTTACCAAATTGATTTTTAAAAATTCAGGAGAGAAAAATCAATGCAACAAATGCTAAAATATGATCGTTACTAAAGAGATTCATTCTGCAACAGCACTCGCTGCGATCCGTAGGAATATTCTATTAGTAACGGATTTACAAAGCGGTGCACGCGTTCGTCCGGGAGAATTTTGAGAAACGTACCAACTGAAATTCAATTCCTTAGACAACCATGAACTATCAGAAGGAACGCGAGGAGGGGACACGGTTGCTTTTAAGGTGACGCCCGTGCAGCCACGCCTCGCGGGCAGGCGCCGGTTCAGTGCTCACCAGCTGGCAGGCTCCCAGGGCGCTGACGAGCTGAGCGTTCTGGCAGGAGAGGATGGAGCCGGCCAGGTTCAGCATCACGCACACGGCGGAGAGCAGCATGAAAAAGGTGACCTGCAAGAGACCAGCGCGAAGCCCATTACTCACCACAGAGGCTCGGAGCAAAGGTGACTTGGCTGCAAAAATGCTTTCAGTCGCTCCCATCATTACACGCCTGGCATGTTTCAAAGGAAACGTCTTGTTTCTCAGAATTGCAAACGCAGCTTCCCTTACATCACGTAGAAAAGGTACGCTCTGAAAAGCCACTGTCCGGACCGTGACTTTATTGGAAATATATGCTCCAGTATTTAAGAGCCCTGACCGGTGTGGCTCAGTGGACAGAGCGTCGGCCTGCGGACTGAAGGGTCCCAGGTTCGATTCCGGTCTGGGGCATGTGCCTTGGTTGCGGGCACATTCCCAGTAGGAGGTGTGCAGGAGGCAGCTGATCAATGTCTCTCTCTCATCGATGTTTCTAACTCTCTATCCCTCTCCCTTCCTCTCTGTAAAAAATCAATAAAATATACTTTAAAAAAATAAAGTATTTGAGGCTAAACTTGAAAATACTAAACAATAGTCTCAAAATAGTTTTCTAGAGCCTTAAAAATAACAACTGATCACTAAAGAAAATCAAATGAAAGAAGTTTATTTCTTAGTAGACCTTTCTTTTATTTATTGTTATTTTTTAAATCCTCACCGGAATATTCCTAGGGATCCCAATGAGTGCTGTTTCAGAATGAATCTCTTCAGTAATGATTATATTTATTACATTTTATAATTTGCTGCATTGATTTTTCTCTTCTGACTTTTTAAAAATCAATTTGGCAAGTCGATTTTAAGTGATTATATATATATGGTGAGTGCATCAAAACAACTTTGTTCTCATTTTTCAATTAAAAAAGAGAATTCGCTTTTAGATCTAGGAAATGGTAGGCCGTGTGCTACGCACATGGGAGGGGATCCATACACTGTGAACAGAGTGACGATTCCATATCGGGACGTCCCCCAGGTACAGTGACATGCACATCTGGCTGGGACGGACGCAGGGGAGAGGACGGGGAAAAGGAGCTCTAACATGTCGGTAGTGTAGCCATACACAAGCTCTCACACACGTGCCCAAGGAAGCACTGTGTGTACTGCCTGCAAGTAGCTAAAAGCTGGAAATAGCCTAACCATTAGGGAATGGATAAACTTATTCCCCCCATGGAAGAACAAATAAAATGGACGAATCAGATCTAATTGGCAAAATCTCAAAACCAATGTCGTGTAAAACAGCGAGTAGCACAAGGCTACAGTCTACGACCAAGCTTTAAGGTGGAAAAGCTCACAGAACACTTGCGCATAACGCTCGTGTCCGTGCACATTAACGCACTGAACCCTGCAACAGCATGAGACCCGCACACGCCGACACCTCTGGGAAGGGCGAGAAGAAAAGATCTGGTCTGCACTGCCTTCTGTTCTAAAATCGAAATCACCTAGTAATTCGCTGCTGGTAAATGGTTAGCATCTCTATGAGAAAAGTGTGTGTGTGTGGGGGGGGGGGGGACGACATGTGCCTCAGATAGAACTGGTAACGGCCCTGGGTCAGGATCATTTTCGCCGACAGGATGAACTGCAGGATGAGAACACACGGGAGGGGAAGGCACGGGCCAGTCAGCAGGATGCTTCGCCGGCAATAAAATGCAAACCAGGAGGAATGTCTGAGGGCCAAGTGTATTCCACTGATGAAATAAATGCAAATTCCATTCAACGGAAGGAAAACCCAGGAGCCTAGCCCATTCCTCCATGCCCACCACAGGCCCACCAGACTCCTGTAGCTATTTCCAGGTGAGTGTTGATCCAGTTCACTTTTTAAACTATTTACCTCATTTCATGATTAATTTGCAGTTTCTTCCCCCAAAACAATTCTTATTCACCCCCGGAAAGCTACTGGCTGAGCCTCTGTAAGCAGCATTTTGCAGAAGCTGTGGCGGGAGAGTGGAGACCACGAGCTTTTCTTCAGGTTCATTTAATCCATAAAAGAAACTATGGCCCTGGCCAGTGTGGCTCAGTGGATAGAGCGTCAGCCTGTGGACTGAAGGGTCCCGGGTTCGATGCCAGTGAAGGGCATGTACTTCGGTTGCAGGCTCGATCCCTGGCCCTGGTCGGGACGTGTGTGAACCAATCCATGTCTCTCACATCGATGTTTCTCTGTTTCTCACCCTTTCACTCTCTCTAAAAATCAATGGAAAAATATCCTCAGGTGAGGATTAGGGGGGAAAAAACCCTATAATTATAGTTACTATTTTCCCCTTTTTGCAGATAAATTGAGACTCAGAGAGTTTAAAACCTACCCCAAATCACCATGCTGACATAACATGAGCCATAATTCAAAGTCAGTTTGGCAGCCTCAAAACCTATACCCTTTTCACTACCCTACAATGATCTCATAGCCAGGGGAGATCTTAACATCTAATTTTCCTGCTTTTACTATTTTATATGGGCTATACTCACCGTATACCATGAATTATACTTTTTTCATAAAACCATAGTCAGACTAGAATATTGCCATAACTTTTGAACCAGTGACTCAAATTCTAGGAATGATTTCGAGCAAGATAACGAAAGGAAACCTTAGAAATAATGTTTTAGCTGCTCCAGACCACAGGAAATAAAAAACGTGTTTTTTAAAAATGTAAGGAACAAAGTACTAACTAAAACCCCAGGCATGGTGCCAAGAACTGTACATACGCTTCCACACCTAACGGTCACATTACCACACACTCCCGGAGTCAGCAGCCCAGTTGACAGGTGAGGAGAGGTCTGTAAGCAACTTAGGGACCTGCCGACATGCATGTGGTCAGGTGGAGCCTGAATCTGAAGCCAGGGTGTCTGCTTCCCAAGTTGGTGCAGTTAATCACTAAAGGGCTTATTAACACTTCTGTGACCTGTCACAGTAAGAGAAATGTATTTCACATCGTGATGCAATCTGCACACACACCTGGAAGTAAAGCAACTTCTACAAAACACGACGTACTGTAACATGCAGCAAAAACTGTCTGTTTAAAAAATGTTGGCTCTGAGTCGCGAAATTTCTCAGGACTCACAACTTAAAAAATGCACAATGCTTAACTGCTTCAAAGATATAGTATTTATTATAATGAGGGTAGGAAAAAAGCTAAATGGTTAGCCACAGAGCTAAATAATAATCATGAATGTAAAAAAGTTATGTCGAGGAAATATAATTTTCTTATACATAGAAAACATAAAATAGCTGTGCTGAGGCAAAAAAAGAGGATATACGCAATTATATTTTTATTTTTAATTTATAAAGGCTTTTATTTTTCCTTACAAACTGGGGCAGTTAGGAGGCCATATAACAGCCACTTACACTGACTTGGCACCAAAGCAAATTACTGATGTGTTCTTTGTTCCAAATCACAGTACAAAGTTTTCCAATTAGTTTTATAAAGCTAGCCAAGTTTTTATATACACACACACACACAAAATACAGATACTAAAACAAAACAAATCCTCTACTCATATTTTTATAAATGGAAACTTGGAACCAAATACTTTACAATAGTAAAAGAACAAAAGTTTGCAAACACATCCTAAAGCTATACACAGTTCAGCTTTACAGAAATATGCCCCCTGCCCCACTGACACCCCTCTCAGGCCTGCGCCTTCGACCCTCGCCCCCAGGAGTCCCCCGGAACCTATGGCTTCAAGAGGAGGGGGCTGGGGCGCTGGTCTGAGGTCGGGCGCTGGTCTGAGATGGGGCGCTGCTCGGAGGTCGGGTGCTGGTCTGAGATCGGGCACTGGTCTGAGAAGGGGCGCTGGTCTGAGATCGGGCGCTGGCCTGGGATGGGGCGCTGGCCTGAGGTCGGGCCCGGTCCTCCTCCTCCGCCAGGGCCTCGCAGTACTGGGCCGGCCAGTCCTTGGGGTCCTGGTTATGGACTTTGGCCACAAACTTCAGCACTTTCATCTTGCTCGTTTCCAGGTGGGTTCGCGGGCCCCACTGCAACTCATAGTCCACGGGGTCCGTGTGCGGGATCCGCCGGTACTCCAGGTACCGCTGCCGCACGAAGTCCTCGGTGAGGAGCTTCTTGGGGTCGCCGAAGATCAGGTGCTTCTTGGTGGGATAGACCCCCAGGCGGCGCAGGAAGTCCCAGACCTCCGTCTCCTTGACGGCGTTGCCCTTCATGAAGATGAGCCCCAGGACGATCATGAGCAGGCCGGTGGTGGGCGTGCCCTGGTCGCCCCGCAGCTCGGCGTCCTCCTCCACGGGCTCCAGGCTGTTGATGAGGATGTAGGTGTTGCTCTTGGGCTCCAGCTCCACCAGCCGGTACCCGAACACGTACTGCAGGCGCTCGGCGGCGCGGTGCAGGAGGTCGGGGAACATGTCCCTGTAGTCGCCCAGGACGTGCTTCACGATGTCGGCCCGCTTGATGGGGATCTTCCTCTGGTCCTTAATCAGCAGGAACTGCACCAGCTCGGCCACCTTCAGCTCCAGCTGCTTCTGGGACCGGGGCCCCACGGCCA